AAAAAAAAAAAAAAAAATGGAGACTTTACAGCTTTTGTATTAACCTCGATGCAAGTGGAACACATTATTCTTAGTAAAGCATCACAAGAATGGAGAAGCATGAATCCTATGCCCTCAATTTTAATATGAGGACAATTAATGACAATTAATGACATGTTGGGGGTAGGAGAATGGAAGAGCAGAGAGAGGGAAGGGGATGGGGTCTTGGTGTGTGACATACCTTTTGGGGGCAAGACACAATTGTAAGAGGGACTTTACTTAACAAATGCAATCAATGCAACCTGGTTTCTTGTACCCTCAATGAATCCCCAACAATAAAAAAACGTGTTAATAAAAATAAGTAAATCAAAAAAAAAAAAAAGCAAGCAAGTACTAGAGAAGATGTGGAGAAATTGGAATCCTTATACATTGCTAGTGGGAACATAAAGTGGTGTAACCATTATGGAAAACAGTTTGGTAGTTCCTTCCAAAATTACATATAGAATTACTGTGTGAGCCAGCAATTCTATGCCTGGGTGTATACCCAAAAGAACTGAAGCCAGAGTCTCAAATAAATATTTGCAGCATTATTCACAATAGTGAAAAAGTAGAAGTAACCCAAATGTCCATCAACAGATGAACTGATAAGCAAAATGTGGTATATACACACAATGAATATTAGTCATAAAAAATGAAGTTCTGATACATGCTACAATATGGATGAACCTTGAAGACACTATACTAAGTAAAATAAGCCAGATACAAAGGGATAAATCATTCTATTGGTAGATGGTAGTTTAAGACATCAGTAATCAGAGTATGTCCAAAGTAAGTAGGAACTCCAGTCTGTATAATCCCACTTACATGATCAAATTCACAACAACACTATGGACACTAGAAGATACCAGGGTTTGGGGGAAAGTGGCATAAGTAGTTATTGCCTAATGGTGATAGTTTCTGTCTGGGATGATGAAAAAGTTTTGGCAATAGACAGTGATGATGTCTGCACCAACAGTGTGTACTGTGAATATACTAAAATGACAATAAACTGTACACTTAAAAATTGTTAAAATGGAACAGTGTATTTTATATATACATATATATACACACATATATAAAACTACAATAAAAATAAATAAATGAAAGTAACTTAAAGTCTCAGAAAAAAAAGCAATAAAGAAATAGCTAAAATAATAAAGAAAAATGACTTTGTATCAATACCTTTCTACACACTGCCTTCGAGATAGGGGAGGTTGACATCTTCGGTTATGAGCTTCTCGGGCAGCAAGTCTCGCTTCTGACAACTGAAAGAGTACAAAACCCATTCACTAAACTATAAAACTTGCTATCATCCTAGAAAAGCTAGTACATGTATCACTTTCTGACATCAAGAAGCCAGACATTCTGTGCTCACTTAGGCAATACATATACTCAAAAAAGAAGCCAGAATTCAATTAATTCAACAAGCCAGTCTAGAGAAAATAAAACCCAGAAAGGTGGGAAAATTCTAGAGCATTTGAAGCAGTATTAAACATATTAAAACACTGAGAGATTAACTCACACATGGTGATCTTAATGTGTCTGCTGAAGGGAACAGTTTTATAATAAGCCTTCTAACAAAGTTGACAATTCTCTTGTCAAAGCTTTCGGAAACTAACTTGAGAAAGTCCAAGAGGATACCAATCCCATAGCTGTATCTCCTTAAGTGCCTTCATCGGTCATCCAGTAGCTGTATAAAGGATGTCCAATGCAAATGTTCGAAAAAAGTGTTTTTTAAGTGTTTTTTAAGAAGTGTTTTTCCACTTCTTGGAATGATTATGACCTAGATGCCTCAGTGAGAAATCTACATTTGCAAATACAAACTGAATGTTTGTGTCCCCCAAAATTAAGATGTTCGAGCCTTAACTCCAATGTGATGGTATTTAGAGGAGTGGCCTTTGGAAGGATAATTAGGCCACAAGGGTAGAAACCTCATGAAGAAAATGAATGTCCTTATAAGAGACAGTGAGGATATAATGAAAAGACGGCCCTTTGAAATTAGGAAGAGACTCTTCACCAGGCATTGGATCACCAGCGCCTTGGATCTTGGACTTCCCAGCCTTCAGAACTGTGAGAAATAAATTGGTGAAGCTCCCTGTCTATGGTATTTTTGTTCCAGGAGCCAGAAATGATCAGCCACCCAATATTAACACCTCAAAGTATCTGAAGGGCAAATGAGTCTCTGAGATGGTAGTTTAAGACATCAGTAATCAGAGTAAGTTCAAAGTAAGTAGGAACTCCAATCTTCTGAAACCTCCCCCCCAAAAAATGGTCTCCTCAACTCTCTGAAGAAATTTGCATCATATAATGTACAAACTCCTATTTTTATTGGTCTAGAAAACATTGTCAATGAAATCGTCAACATATACCAAAAATAAAAGAATATTCAAAAAGTTGATATACCTTTTCATCTTCCCATTGAAAAAAATTACAATCTTTTCTATCCCTACAGGCGGAGCAGGCATAAAACCTCCGGGTTTCTTCTTTCCCTTGATTCACCTTTACAAACAGAAGAGTGGGTCCTAGTTCCAGAAAAGAAAAAACATGTCAAAGCCATCTATATCAAGCTCCCAGTTTTCACTGCCCTTAAATAGAACTGGTTTTGATTTTACATATAATGTATCATAAGTAAATCCACCAATGTTTAATAAATGTTTCTTTTCTCTCTGTCACAACAGTCAGGCGCTGACTACTTAAAAATAATTTTTGAAAACTTGTTTTTCCAGAAATAAAATGCTACTGTCAGTATAGATGCTGTCTGCAGCATGAATGTTACAAAGCTAAAACTAAGACAAAGAGGGGCCCAGAAAATGGAATACTTTGCCATCCCTTGTGCGTTATCCTTTCAGTGGAAATTTGAGTTTTTAAAAGTTGGACACACACTCTGCAAGTTAGAGAAGAACTCAAGTCTGGCTTCCATGCAAGAATTCACCCTATTGTTCTAACTTTTCATTCATTAAAAGACAGCCTGTCAACAAATGAAATCCCCCAGCACTTGTCAATAAGAATCATTCAATACCATGCATCCTGTTTGCCCACGTTCTGCCTCTCTCACCCGCCCCCCCAAAAGATGTAATAGTCCTGAAGCCAAAACCACAAGTCTTCGCACAGACTTGCTCTGGAGATTTCTAAAGTAAATTGAAAAACACAACCCCCAGAGAAAGCAGCATTTTCTAAGCATGACACCTGTCAGGGCAGAAAGGCAGGTACAAACAGGGTAGGTCTAAAAGACCTGGGCAGCTCCAGGCTAACTCACGCCCCAGGCGCCCGACAGGCAGGCTGAGCCCAGACGCCAACCCACCGTGAGGGCACAGGGGCGCGGGGACGGCAGGATCAGAGGAAAACACCACCTCCACTCCCGAGCATCCCCCGCGACCGGCGCTCTCCTCCGTCTCCACGGCTTCAAGCCGCTCTCTGGGGGAAGCCATCTTCCCGCCGCCTTCCCGAAAACCTCAGCCCGAACCAAGAAGCCTGAAGAAGAGCGCCGCCGCGATTCATGGAGTTTCACAGCGCCCCCGCGCGCCTAGGAGGAACTTGGGGGCTGCCTCGGAGGCGGCCACGCCCCGAAACCCAGTCCCCGCTGCCCAGGGGCTGCTCTTAAGCGGTCTCTAGTGGAGGGGCTCGCAGGTCACTTGTTGGACCTATGCTATGAGTTCACCTATATCCGCCTGACCCATAGCACCTCCAAGTACCTTTCTTTTATAACCACATAAGCAGAATATGAGACGACTTTTTGGAACGAAAATTTAGTAGCATTGTAGGTCCAAAAGGCAGTATCACCACCACCAGCAGCTGCACTTGGAGGAAACCATATTCGGTTTTTTTTGTTTTGTTTTGTTTGAGACAGAGCCTCAAGCTGTCCCCCTGGGTAGAGTGCTGGGGCATCACAGCTCACAGCAACCTCCAACTCCTGAGCTCAAGGGAGTCTCCTGCCTCAGCCTCCCAAGTAGCTGGGACTACAGGCACCCGCCACAACACCCGGCTATTTTTTGGTTGCAGCCATCATTGTTGTTTGGCGGGTCTGGGCTGGGGATTCCAACCCGCCATGTTAGGTGTATGTGGCTGGCGCCTTAGCCGCAGCCACAGGCGCCGAGCCCATACTGGGTTTTTCAAAGTCACAGTCACAGCAGCATCATTAATTTTTGGACGGTGAGTACGGTTGCATAGTTGTCTCGTTGACAAGTGCATGGGTATTTCATTTGTTGATCTGCATATATACATCAGAAAGAAAGAAAATTGTTCCTATTTGCTGATGACATGATTGTCTACCCAAAGAGTCCCAAAGAATCCACCAGGAAAAGAAAAAAAAAAAACCTCTTCAGTTTAAACTGAGTTAAGCAAGGTTGCAGGATATGAGATAAACATACAAAAATCAATCAGATCCCTGTATACTAGATATGATCACATGAATACTAAAATTAAAAACAGAATGCCACTTACAATCATTCAAATAAATTGAACAGGTGTAAATCTAATGAAACATGAACAGGGCTTACATGCCGAAAACTACAAAATGCTGATTAAAAGAACATCAAGGGGGAACTGAGTAAATGCAGAGACATACTGTGTTCAGGACCTGAAAGATTTACCGTAGCAAAGATGTCAATCCTCCCTAGGTTTACTGCTATATAGATTTAGCACTTCTCCATCAAAATTCCAGCCAGATTTTTTTGTAGATTTAGACAATATTTTTCTGAAAGTTGATTTACATGGAAAGAGATCTAGAATAGCTTTGAAAAAAATAAAGTAGGAAGAATCAATCCACTCAATTTCAAGACATTATATAGCTGCCATAATAAAGGCAATCACATGTGAGGTTGTAGATGAGGTAGTCAAATGTCTCCGCACATTATTTACAGAATTGGCAGTGTGCGCACGCATTTAACGTCGCCCATTTAGTGCTATGGTGTTTTCTTGCAGAAACACTGCTGTTTTCCTTCCCAACTTCATGCAGTGGTTTCATTCAAATTTTCCCCTTGTGCCTGTCCCATCTGTGTCTTTGCTGTGTCCGACACAAGTTTCCAGCATATGTGATCAACACTTCTACATCATTTGAGATAAAGAATTTTCTGAACCCATCGTGAAGATGATACTTTTGGAAATTTATATCAAGAATGAAATACCCCCTCACATGAACACTAGCACTTGTATTAAAAAAAATTTGTTTTCTGTGTACACATTGGTGGTCTTCCAAAGATTTGTTTACAAAATTTGCAATTGTACAAAAGTACATTATTTAAACATTGATTTTTAATTCAACTTGTTAATATGTTGTTTAGGATATTGCATCCTCATTTATAAGTGAAATATGTTTGTAATTTCCCCTTTATTTATTTATTTATTTATTTTGAGACAGGAGCCTCAAGCTGCCCCCCTGGATAGAGTGCCGTGGCATTACAGCTCACAGCAACCTCCAACTCCTGGGCTCAAGCGAGTCTCCTGCCTCCGCCTCCCAAGTAGCTGGGACCACAGGCGCCCGCCACAATGCCCGGCTATTTTTTGGTTGCAGCCGTCATTGTTGTTTGGCGGGTCCGGAGGCTGGATTTGAACCCACCACCTTGGGTGTACGTGGCTGGCGCCTTAGCCACTTGAGCCACAGGCGCCGAGCCGTAATTTCCCCTTTATAATAATATATTTTCTCCAATTTTAATATCAGGTGTATCCAGATTAAGTAGAATGATTTTGAAGTATTTCGTCTTTCTCTCTTGTCTATAAGATTTGGTATGGTCTGTTTTTTGAAATTATTTTTTACTTTTATTTATAAATATTAGTTGTCTATTTTTTGAGATTTGGGGAAAAAATAATAAGAAGTTAACTGATGACTCTACACTGAACCTCAGGGTCAAAGCATTCTATAATAGACATAGTCTTGTTTGACAATGTGAATGTTACTTTCTTTGCATTATTATTATTATTGCTTAATATTTCGATGCAGCAATCGTCTGGTTTCTTTTCTGAATGTATTTATCTTTGTTTGTTCTTTACGAAGTTTTTGTTTCTACTCCTTATCTTAAACACTATTATAGTTATTAAATTTTAAGCCTTTTTAATTTTGTGAAGGCAAAAAGTGGAAACCTAATAATCACATGTAAAAATAATAATAATAAAACTTGCACTTGAATTTGTGAGATCATACAACTGGAAAGAGTTACAGGATCCACCTTTTTTCTCTTTCTCTTTTAAGGACTGCTGATTCTGCGAGGTAACCTCTAGAAGCAGCCCAAACCAAAATGGATTTGCGGCCTTTACAGAGAAGTCTCCCCAAACTGTAAAAGTACACAAAGGTTAATTCAAATCAGATAAATGAGAGGCACCTCAAAATGTGAGCGATGTTGCATGTTTTAAAAACAAGATGATTCCCTTTTTCCTGAAGAATAACTTTAGGAACAAAAAAACAAAACTTACCTGATATTCAGATATAATATATGCAGTAAATAGCCTATGTTAAATATTTACCAATGGGGTTATGACTATGACTAAGTCATAAATGTTTTATTTCACTGGGTAATAGTGCTTTTGGTTTGTGCAAAAAAATCCTGGAGTGGAGACACACTGAGAGACTCAGCAGGATTCAGAAAGGAAACCAGAGGTGGAGCTACAACCTGAGGCCTGAGCCCCAGGGTGGATCCTGCTCACCCTTGTCACCACGCAGGGCACTGTCCTAATGCTGCTGACAGTTGCTCAACACAATGACTCTCCCAGCAGAGGGAGACAGGTGAGCTTCCTATCTGGGTCTGGCAATCTTATCTCTTTGTTAATAGAATAAATGTCATTTGAAAACCTCCTATTCACAAGTTGAAGCCAGAGGAGCATTTGGTAGTGAATGTCTGGCCCTCTTCCCTGGCTTCTGGTAACAGGATCCCAGTTTTCCTTTGGTAAACCAGTTGGCTCCAATTTTAGCCCATGTCACCTGAGAGGAACAAGAAGAAGTAGGGCCTGGCTTGGGTTTGGGCAGGTGACTTGGAGCTTCTGCTGGAATGCTTGAGAAAAAAGGTACAA